AAAAGTAGGCCTTACTGTGTGTGTGTGTGTGTGTGTGTGTGTGTGTTGGAATACCATCTGAATGTGTCCTGCAGTAAAACAAATGTTAAGGCAAGAGTGTTTTGAGACAGTGTACCTATTTTTATGGGTAGAGATAGAAAAAAATGGTTGTAGATAAATGAAGAAATGCCAAGCAATTACTGTTTGTGCCTGTGGAGAGTCAGGTTGTAGGGGTTGGGGGGATTTGCTATGTTTTCTCATTTGGGGATGAATGTTGGGAAGGAAGAAGAGGAGAGAAGTGGTTGGGGCTGCATTTGTGGGAGTTCATGAAACTGGGATGCCACGCGTTGCTTCAGTACCTGGTGAGGAAGTTGCTGGAAGGGCAGGTTTCCTTCCAAATGCACAAGGAGCCTTAGAGATGGGTAGTTTTACAGAATGTCAAGCCACAGACACAGAATTTCACAAGGAAATCTTCAAGATGTTTTGAAAAATAAATTGTTGGAAATAGGCACGGCGGCCTCATGATGAGGCAGCAACCAGATCTCCTCCCAGGGACAATTAACAGAGCTGAGGAGGTCACAGTTAGCATTAGTACGGTAAGCGATTAGAGAAATCACAGGAAGGGCACCCTCATTTCTCTCCCGTGTAAGTGACAACTGGACATTCTGGTTAAATACATTACAGTTATCTTAACCGCCCTATCTTTCTGAAAGAAACGATACAACTACAAAATATACAACAGTCTTACCAAAAAAAGGCACCTCTCCCACATAAATATTGAACTATAAAGAAAAATACTGACTCATCCGACTGGAGTTTATTTGTAAACAGTCTCAGGTCAAATCAGTGTTGTGTCAACCACTTCAAAAACCACCGAAGATTCCCGTTTCAGTGACAGGCAGCAGCAGCTGCAGTTGAGACCACAACATATCTAGAAGTTTGAGTGAAGCGGGCAGTTGGCAACATAATGTCTTCATGAATTTACGGTGTGAGTAATTCTGAAGGCTATAGGACAGTGGTTCTCAACCTTCCTAATGCCACGACCCTTTAATACAGTTCCTCATGTTGTGGTGACCCCCGATTTCATTATTACAAATTGAACATAATTAAAGCACAGTGATTAATCACAAAAACAATATGTAATTATATATGTGTTTTCCGATGGTCTTAGGCGACCCCTGTGAAAGGGGTCAAGAACCACAGGTTGAGAACCGCTGCTATGGGAGCTACTGTGGAGTATGAGAATTAAACAAGAAAATGGAGAGTCTAACTTACCCACATTACAGTAATATCCATGGGAAAAAAATCTTACTCAACTTTGAAGGTTGATGGTTTGAGATGGGCTCCAGTTTAACCTTGTTTCCTTTTGTCTGAAAATCCTGTGGAAGCTATGGAATTCGGGCTGATGACTGTAGTGCCATGACCGTCAGAGCTGTGCTCCTTATAATTTCCAACAACCTGAAGGGAGTGTGGGACCCAAAACAAGTATTTATATGCATTTAATAAGGGACTATAAATTGGTTTTCTTTTCTGTTGTTATTTTAAAATTTATGAAACAGACAGATTAACTTTCTTCTTTGGTGTACCTGCCTACAAATTTAACTCATGTGTAGATTTGTGTAACTATCTCCACACTCAGTATGCAGAACAGTGCCATCACCTCAAAAACTCCCTCAAGCTGTCAACCTGTATTCATGCTCCCCCCACCTCCACCCTTGGCAGCCACTCAGCTATTCTTCATCGACACCATTTGTCTCTTGAGAATGTCATATAAGTGGAAATATACACTGTGTCACCTTTTGAGACTGTGTAGTGTATAGATGTTCCATAGTTTGTTTATCCATTTTCCCACTGCAGGTCATTTTGGTTTCGGTGTTTATGAGTAGACCTTCCTTTCATTTTTGTGTTTACCTAAGCTTTCATTTCTTTAGTATAAACCCCCAGGCATGAAATTGCTGGGTCATATTGTAAGTGCATCTCCAACTTCATAAGAAACTGCTGAACTGTTTTCCACAGTGACTGTCATTTTGCATTCCCACCAGCAGTGCAGCAAAGTTCCAGCTGCTCTGGAACTCCTCAGCACTTGGTAATTGTTTGTTCTAGTCATTCCACCAGGTGTACACCTATTGGACCACAGTGGTATCTCGTTGTGGTTTTAATTGCATTTCTGTAATGGTTAGTGAGGATGAACATTTTTTATGTGCTTATTTGCCATCATTATATCCACTTAAAAATTTTTGTTCAAGTCTTTTGCCTATTTGATAATTGGGTTGGTTGTTTTCTTATTGTTGTTTTGAGAGTTCTTTATATATTCTAGATATAAATCCTTTGGTATATATATATATATGATTTGCAAATAGGTTTTCCTGGTCTTAGCTTATATTTTCCTTTTCTTAAAAAATATCTTTTGTATAGCAAGAGTTTTAAATGTTGATGAAGTCAAATATTTTTCTTTTATGGATTCTGTGTAATATACTGTATGTAGGAAGTTGGTACCAAATCCTAGGTCTGTAGTTATGGAGACCTCTGATACTGGCTACTCCCGAGAATGCTCTTCTCATCCCCTTGGTTGTCTCCTTCAAGACCCAAACATTACTTCCTTAGAAGAGAGTTCTTGCCCCTTCCTCTTTGCACCCCTGGGCACAATTATTTCCTTCTCTGTGTGCCCTCTGTGAACACTTACCTTCCTGGCTATAATTTTTATTTCCATCCCCACCTCCTACCAACCAGGGAACTCTAGGGAGCAGGCTCTGGAACTATAACCTTTGTGTGCCCCAGCACATGGATTAGTACATAGCAGGTACTTAAGGCATTTGCTGAAAAAACCCCAGAAACAATTATCCTTCTATCCTTTATAATTATGGGATAGGCTAAGGACAATTTGAGTATCTGTAAAAATGTTATTGCTGGAAGGGCATTTAAAAATTATCTTCAGTTTGTAATTATAGGTTTCTTAGTCTTTGAGACATCTCTTGATTTAGTCATCTGAATGAGCTTGCTGGAGAACATTTTTTTCTCAGAAGAAAAACTATAAGACAATGAATGACATCTATGTAGAATTATGGGAAATTTTAAGTAGTTAAAGCTTTAGTAGACTGTAGGCACCTACTAGAGAAGAAGGGAGCTAGTATGAGGGCAAAAGAGTAATGATCAGAAAGTGGCAAAGAAGCTCTGAGGCCTGTCCTTCCCCTTCAGCCCTACCCCTCCATCTCTCAGGTGAGGCCTGGGCTGATAGGTAGCATCCCTTGGGAGGACAACAGGGAAGCAAGGTCCTTGGGCAGAGTCAGGGTTTGGTAAGACCAGGAGGTAGATAATACAATTATTCACATTATTCTTCTGTGAAGAGGTAAAGGAGTATTTTTACAATGGGATGGGGTTATTAGCCAGAAAAGTACAGAGAATTTGGAAGTGGTCAGCAGTGGGTGGAAGGGAGTTTTCCAAGGCAACACAATACTGAGCATCCTAAGAGGACAAAGGAAGCAGGGCCTGTGCTTTGAGGTGGTTGAGGTATCAGGAATAGGAGGTGTGAGGGATAAATGGAGTGGGTGCTCAAAGCAAGCATTAGCTGAGACCCCAGGCAGTATGGGATATCTGATGATAGCAGTTAGAGGCTGAAAGCAGCAGAGATAGCTAATATGCGTATGATTGGTTCCCAGGTGCTGGTCAGTAGGGTCATGTCGTTTTTGCCTGAAGCTCTTTCGGACTGCACGTGCTCATGGGCCACATTTGTAAGAACTTCACTTAATTAGGACTCCAAAGTCTATTCAGTTTAAACTTTTCATCTCTTTCAAGTTGGTTATTGTCACCAGTTTGTATCACTGTCATCAACTGGTTCTTGGGTTTCAAGAACTAATATTGGAGCATTTATTGGAGTTGCACAGTACTTAATATTCAAAATTCAGAACAACTCTCTATCATTCTTCAATAGATTTTTTTTGGCCTATTTTCACACATTGTTAAATAAGGGTACATTTTAGTTTTTCTTTAAAAACAAGTAATTGAATTACGTGGAATCAGCAGGCTATGTTTCCAGCATAGCATGACTGTTTTGACACTCATGATAGGGCTTCAGAACTCAAATGCTATCTTAAAATGTTAGCCTTACCCCAAATCATCCATTTAAAAAACAAACAAACACTGATCATCACTAAAAATGGGTAACTGAGCAGGTTCAGCTGACATCCGTATCATTTTAATGCTTAATTGTCTCAAATGCTCACATAAATATCACTATTGATGCTGCTCATTCCATGTAGCTGCCTCTGATGGCACAGTGGAGTTTGGCAACTTGTAAGGGCGAGTGCCATATCAGACACCAAATCTGCATGCTTAATAGTATGTGTGGGAGAGATTGAAACCTTGAGTTAGTAATGTTTCTGTTTATATTGTCTCTGTCTTACAGAACAAACTATTTTGTCTTTCTTCATCCTTTGGGTTTCTGTGGCTTTCCTTCTTAAGAGTGATTCTGCTTCCAAAGTGTGGGATGAAATTTAGATATCCATCATAAATTTAGGGATTAACATTCCCTGTGGGAATGTGACAATTGTTCTTTACATTGAAGACTCCGTGGTTCATTGACAATAGGTGGTAATTCCTATGGAACACAGATTCTAGCCCATCTTTCTTCATGCTTGGTGTCTGGATGAAGCCTTATCCTGAAACTGTGTGTTCCATGGAGCTCGCCACCAGCAAAAAGAATAGCTGTTGGCTCACTTGCCAGAATCACAAACTGTAAATAAAGAGAACAGAGAGTGGATTTGTGAGGTGACCTCTCAGCTTGGCACCTGAAAGGATTTTGGTATCTGAAAGAATAAGAATTTTTGTGGGTTAGGAAAAGATCAACTTACCTGTATGCGCAAAAGGCCCGGTGCCCAGGAACATGGCCTGCAGCTAACAAAGGCCCACTCTCTAACATGTGCTCACCTGACCTGTTGGCCCTGATGACTGTTTTCAGGTGAAGAGGTGACCTTTTGGCAAAGAAATCATCCTATCTTTGCTTTTTTTTTTTTTCCCCACTGCAGGACATTTGCGAAGATATTTCTGATCATGTTGAGCAAATCCATGCCCTCCTTGAGACTGAGTTCTCCCTGAAGCTGCTGTCCTACTCTGTCAATGTGATTGTGGACATCCACGCGGTGCAGCTCCTCTGGCACCAGCTCCGGGTCTCGGTGCTGGTTCTGCGGGAGCGCATCCTGCAAGGCCTGCAGGACGCCAATGGCAACTACACCAGGCAGACGGACATTCTGCAAGCTTTCTCCGAGGAGACAGCTGAGGTGGGTATTTTTTTGAAGCCATATCATGTGTTGTCAAGTGTAACCTTTTGAGAATGTTTTCATCACAGAGCTGTGGGGTAGGAATTCTTTGTAGGTAGGTAAGCAGATCCTGAGCTGGGCTTTGAACCGAGGTATAGGGACAGAAGCTCGGGCACTTTTAATGTGAATGAAGCTTTAGATCAGAATTAACTCACACCTACCTGATAGTTTGCCCAGAAACCACCCATACTTGTATTAATTTGGCTCCTTGTTCCCTATTTAATTTATACTTATTGAGCACTTACTATGTATGGGCCAAGCATTATGTGCTAAGAATATAATAGTGAACAAAACATAGTCTTTGCTTTCGAGCAGTTTAGAGCCTAGCGGGGGATGTAGGCACATGAACAGACATTAAGGCCATACGGCAATAGGTCTATCTGATGCACTGGAGGACAGAGAAGGAGCACCTAATTCAGACAGGAAGCCTTCCCAGGAGTGAGTCTAATCTGAGGCCTACAGGAGAATCAGGATCAAACTGGTGAACTGAGGTGGAAAATGTCTAGACAGAGGGAATGTCAGGTTCAAAGGTGCAGATGTAAGACAGAGAATGACAGGCTTAAGGAGCTACAGATAAAAATGGAGCAAAAAGTTCAAGGGACCAGGAAACAGCTTTAAACTAATAGGTAAGGGAAGGTGAGATCATGAAGTTAAAAAAACCATATTAAAAAGCCATATTGAGAGAACTGGACTTTAGTTTTAAGACAGTTTGTTCAGAGAATAGACATGATTAAATTCATGCTTTAGAAAAATCATTCTGGATGTAGTGAATCAATGAACTTTAGAATTTTATACAATCAACATATTTAAATTTTTTGTAGTCATATTAAGTACACTTTAACGAATTTGTTGTTATTCTTGATGCATGGCTTAAGAATGAATACTGTAAATTTGAACCCAAACAAATTCTTTTATTCCCCAATAAAATGGACACATATTACAGAGCAAAGCATTGTGCTAGCTAATTAAGCAGGGGCTGTGTGTGTAGGGAGATAAATAAGTAGGTAGGTAGATAGATAGATAGATAGATACATATATACACACATAGATACCATATATAGATACATAGAGTGTGTATGTATGTATATAGTCCCTTGTCTCTCATCACACAGTTGAGAGCTCCACTGTTGGTTTTGTGGAAGATATGTATTATACAAGTTTATTAGGAACTTATATGAATATATAAGATTAAAAGGCCTTATAAAGAGTGTTGCATAGTTCATTAATTTATTAATGTTTTACTGGCTCCAACATTACCAATAAGCAAAACAGATCTGTGTCTAGTCTCATAAATAATTTATACTTGTTGATTATCTACACTAATAAAAGAGAAAAATGGTAATTGGCATACGGCGCTACCCTTTTCATTGGCTAATCAGGGCTATATGCAAATTAACTGCCAACTAAGATGGCAGTTAACTGCCAACAAAGATGGCAGTTAACTGCCAACAAAGATGGCGGCTAACTTGCATATGTAGGCACAATGCAGGGAGGCAAAAGGGAAAGCAGGAAGAAGCCCCCTGCCACTGACAGTGATCGGAAACCCAGGGGGGAGCTAAGAGTCCCCTGCCCAGGCCTAATGCCTCAGCCAGAGGCATTAGGCCTGGGCAGGGGCGGAGCCTGCAACCGCGGGGAGCTGGGGATCCCCTGCCCAGGCCTGACACCTCTGCCGGAGGCCTCAGGCCTGGTCAAGGGGCAGATCCGGTGATTGGTGATCGGAGGGTGATGAGGGTCAACTCCTCTGGCCGAGGCATCAGGCCTGGGCGGGGGGCTGGGTGGGGTGCGGAGCCGGGGATTGGAGGGATATGATGGTCCCCTTGTCCAGGCCTGAAACCTGGGTCAGAGGCGTCAGGCTTGGGTGGGGGGTGGAGCAAGCGATCAGAGGGAGATGGGGGTCCCCTGCCCAGGCATGATTCCTGGGCCAGAGGCCTCAGGCCTGGGCGGGGGTCAGAGCCAGTGATCGGGGGGAGATGGGGGTCCCTTGTCCAAGCCTGACACCTCTGGCGGAGGCGTCAGGCCTGGGCAAGGGGCCGATCAGGTGATCGGAGGGTGATGGGGGTCTACGCCTCTGGCCGAGGCATCAGGCCTGGGCAAGGGGCACAGCCAGCAATCGGAGGGGTCTGGGGGTCCCCTGCCCAGGCCTGACGCCTGGGCCAGAGGCATCAGGCCTGGGCTGGGGGCAGAACCAGTGATGGGGGGAAATGAGGGTCCCCTGCCCAGGCCTGACGCCTCTGTCAGAGGCGTTAGGCCTGGGCAAGGGGCTGATCCTGCGATTGGAGGGTGATGGGGGGTCAATGCCTGAGGGCTCCCAGTGTGTGAGAGGGGCAGGCTGGGCTGAGGGACACTCCCCCCCCCCACCCAGTGCACGAATTTCGTGCACCGGGCCCCTAGTCTATATGTATAAAACCCTAATATGCATATAGACCGAACGGCAAAACAGCCAAACAACTGGTTGTTATGATGTGTGCAGAACATGGTGGGCGTTGGCCGCGGTGGGATGGTGGAGCAGGTGAGCGGGGGCACCAGACCAAGGCGGGGCGCTGGTCACTGTCATCTAGGGGAGCCTCTGGTGGTTACTGAAAATTCTATGCTTCTTTACGCTGGCCCAGCTCGCACCTGCTGCCAGTACCAGAGCCGCTGCTTGCACCCGGCTCTGCTCCTGACCACTCAGCGCCATCAGCAAGTGCAAGCAGCGGTTGCTGGCCCCGATTGTGCCTCAGGGCTTTTCCACCTCCCCCTGATCCTGAGGGGCAATCAGGGCAAGCAGCCACCTCTCATACCCACTGCCGGCAAAGGCACTGCTCATACCCGCAGCCGGCGCCTGGAGCTGCCACTCGCACCCGCTGCCAGCACCCAGCGCCAGTCCCAATCACTTGGTGCCATCAATGGATGCAAGTGGTGGCTGCCAGCCCTGATCACCCCTGAGGGCTTCTCCACCTCCCCCTGCTCCTGAGAAGCGATTGGGGTAGCAGCCACCGCTCATACACGCTGCTGGCGCCGGCCCCAATTGCTCCGCGTTGTCAGCGTGGAGTGGGGCTGCTGGCAGACAGGGGACTGGGGGCTATGGCAGGAAAGGCTGGGCAGGGGCACAGAGGATGGGCCGAGACCCACCCCTGTGCCCACTGCAGCCTTGAGGCCCACAGTTCCTTTCAAGGTGCATGAATTTGCACACTGTGCCCCTAGTTATTTTCATAACAGTGATGATCTTTCTGTGGCAAAGATCCTGAAAGTTAATGGGAATTAAAATCTATTAGGCTCACTTCTAGCATTAAGTCATGACCTTCATTTTCATTTAGCTTTCCCTTTTATTGTGACAGTGACTGAGGTGATACTGACTTTGGCAGAGTGCTTGTGTATTCATATTCATACTACAGGCCCAGTGCATGAATTCGTGCATGGGTGGTCCGGCCGGCCTGGCCCCAATGGTGGATTGGGGCTGGGCCTGTTGGGAGGAGGAGATGGAGAGAGGTTGGCTAGCCAGGGCTGGGCTGGCTGGGGGGAGGGGCCACAGGCGATTGGCAGGTGGGCTTCTCCCTCAATTGGGGTGGGGAGCCGATTAGGGGTGGGGCCAGCCATGGGGAGGGGCTTTGGGCGGTGGGCCAGCAAGCCCTGCCCCCGAATGGGGTGGGGGGGGCGATCAGGGGTCAGTGGCTTGGGGAGGGGCCATGGGAGGTTGGCTGGCCAGCCCCACCCCCGATTGGTGAGGGGGGGGGGTGATCAGGGGCAGAGCTGGCTGGGGGGAGGGGCTGTGGGCTGATCAGGGTGGTGAGGGCTGATCAGGGGTGGGATCGGCCATGGGGAGGGGCTGCAGGCAGTTGGCCAGCCGGCCCTGCCCCTGATTGGGGTGGGGGGCCGATCTGGGTTGGGGCCAGGTGGGGGGGTTGGCCGGTGGCCCCACCCTCGATTGGGGTGGGAGAGGCTGATCAGGAGCAGGGCCAACTGGGAGGAGGTTCGTGGGAGGTTCGCTGGCCGCAGTGGACGTCATGGTGACTGGTCGTTCTGGTCTTTATGACGTTCTGGTCACTGGCTTTTTATATATATAGATGGGGTGTCAGTCCCCAGATGCCATCCCTCTGAAGTAGGTACTCTTGTGCTTATGGGAGACTATGAAGAATTCCTACTGGCCCACTCTGCCCTAAATCTGGTACCTATGAGATGAATGATAATGAGGTGAAGATCATAGATGGGAAAGGTTTGTCTAAATGCTGAAGAGATCTTTCCTTAGATATCTACCTGGCATCCCTGACCCATGCATTCTTTTTTTGTTCCTTCCCATGTGTTTTGCTGGCTCTGCCCAGCATCCATTGAACAATCATCAGATCTTCCCACTTTCTACTACTAGAGGGACATTAGAAATCACTGAGTCAAACCAGTTCATGTTACATATTTTTTTATTCATTTAATAACCATTTACTGATTGCCAACCCTTGTTGTGGAGCTGTGGATATATTGTTATATTGTTGTTAGTTTTGTGGAATACGTTTACCATGCATATATTTGAATGCATATAATTAGTGAAGTAGTATTCCAAGAATGATGAAAAGCAATTGAGGTACAGGTTCAGGCTGCTATTTTCACAGTTATGTTGCAAGTAAGTAGTATTAAGGTTTTCACAATGTGAGCTCTGCAATTTTTTACAGATTTAATTGGAAGCAATTTCATACATTTGCATGTTTAAAGTCAGTGTTTAGTCTTGTAACAATATGCTATATGAGGGATAAAGGAACAGTGAATTCTTAGCCATCTGCTTTGTGGATATTTTTCTATGAATTAAAACACTGTCTCCATTGTCATCTTTCCCAAAGCTGTGGATTCCTGATCCTATTTGTTTGTGTTTTTAGTGTGACTCCATGAGAACATTTCAAAGACTGCTTAGTTTTATTTGTTTCTGTCAGCACACTGGAATTGTGGGAAACTGGAAGGGAATTAGAATAAAATTCTTGAATTTATCAGAATAAATT